TTTGTTTTATTTTGACTGTTAGGATTGCTGGACTATATAAAATTATTTATCTGCTTGCAGAACAATGAAATGGTGTAATGACATGAACAGTTTGGAGGGGCAGAATATGGTGTTTGGTGTCATTTGTATTATATGTTGACCAGCTACCTTTTCAAATAGATACAGTGAGGTATGATGAAAAGATAAGATAGTGAAATATTTTTTTAATTTTATTTTTTATTATTTTATATTTTTATTATTTTTGAAATTGAATTAGAAGTTGAAGCTCCTAGAGAGTTCTGAGTGAGTCATTTTACTTAAATAAAAAAAAAAAAAAAAGAAGTCCTTTGTGTAGATGAAGCATGTGTCTGAATCCCTGATAGCTGAGCTTGGAGAAGTATAATGGCTTTCTGTACAAGATAGCATTCAGTTGTTCGTAGCTTATTTTCCAAATTGTGACATATTAGATGGAATTTTTCCAGTATAACATGTTGTACTACTGTGTTGTACTACTTTCTTGGAAATCCATTTCCATTACAGAACAGAAGAGCCTTTAAAAGCAAATAAAATTTAAAACAAAAAAAAATCAGAATTCAGAAATGCTGGAAATTTCTAGCCATGAATGTGGTGCCTTCTGCTTGTTTGTTGGCAGATAATTTTTTTAACCTCCATCTTATGACTGTGTGTACCATATTTGCACCAGAGCTGAAATTGAGATGTTTGTGAACCTGTTTCTGTCCTTCCAGTTGAGACTAAACAGTGTGGGAGTCCTTTTCTTTGCTGCTGATTGCAGCCTGGACAAGAGCAAGTGGGATCTAGGTAGTGACAGGATCTGAAGGCTGTGGAGATGCCTTGACCAAAGGTTTTAGGGGAGCAGCTGGAAAAGGAGCAGTAAGATGGGATGAGATATGTGGTTATGGGTTTTGGTTTTAAAAAACAAGGAGGAAAAATAGAGTCAGAAGGAATTACAGCATCCCTCCGAGAGAGGTTCAACAAATTAACACAGAATTGCTGCAGTGTAAAAGTTGATGCAATTTGATTACTGAGTGATACTCCTAAAAAAAGCAGAATCTGGTTTTCCAGAGAAACATTCAGCTATGCTGATAATATATTTATCTTTTATTTTCTCAGGATCTTTGCCTCCTTGTTTACCATAATATGCCCATTTGTGATTAAGGAATTTGAGATTTCCTAGGAAAGCTTCTCTCCCTGTCAACAGCTAGTGACACAGAGACATGATATTTCCAGACCTGGGGGAACAGTGTGGAATAATTAGTATCTCTATTACCATATGCAGGACTGAGAAAAAATCTGTGTGCTCTAAATCTTTTATTTTCCCTCCAAGTAACCTGTGTATTATCCTTATAACATAAACTGTTCAGGGAAAAAATATGTTACAAACAATTTTATTTATTTTTATTTATTTTATTTATTTTTATGGTATTGCTGCTAGTGACCTTACTCTGCAGGTATAGGAGGAAAAGGCAAAAGTAAAATGCTGAACATGAATATGGTTCCTTCTTGGAAACAACACTGTGAAAACAATGCTCACTCCCTGGAGCAAGATCAAAAATGACAGGAAAAGAGGAAGTTATTTCATGGCCCGTCAAATATAAATCAAGTTTTTCATTTTTGTCCTGGCAGGTCACCCCCAATTATTTCTAAGTTATGGTGGTAAACACTTCATCGGCTGGAAGGGGATTGGGGTTTTAGAAAGCTCCTATGGGGTAATGAAGTGCTACCTAATTCTAGCTTCTCCGTACTAAGACTAATTTTAATTGTATTCAGAGTTTCCCATTTTAGGAGACAACCTGTACCGAGAGAGAACTTTCCCTTGAAATTATTTCCTAGAGGTGGCTTGATCCCATAACTTCAAGAAAGCAAGCTTTCAGACTTGGCCCTCTTTCAAACAAATGTTTGCAAGGTCAGTTTTAAAATAAGCAGTGCCTCAGTGGTTATCTTTACTTTATGGCTAGATTGAACAGGCAGTAAAAACATAAAACACGGTAAAATTGAGTTGTATTTGAAATTTTTGTTCCAGTAATTCACTGCATCCATTCTTCATAAAAGTAGGAGACTGGAAATAGTTTATAACAAATGCCTAATCTAGACCACTGTTTCATATCCTGATTAAAGGCTGCTTGAGGCAGACAACAGTAGCAAAAGTTACTGCTGGGCTCTTCTCCAGACTAGGATGGATTTCTATGCAAATTAGTGATGGGTTTACTAGTCTTTTGAGAGATTCCATAAAGAAATAGAAGGAAGGCAACAAGCCTGTGTAGCTTAGAGGTTAATATCTAGAGTTGTACCTCTGTACTTTTTGGTCAATGTTTTTGATTTTGTAATGATGAAAAAAGTAACAATAAATTTAAAAGAAAGCAAGCACGCTACTCACTGTATCTGAAGTGAGTTCCTATACAGTTTACAGTAGCAGTCTTCGATTTTTCAACCTTACTGAAATTTTCAAGAGAAGATGCATTTTGAGAAAATCCATTCACTGATCAAGTTACAAATAGGGAAAAACAAATGGCTTGAAATTTCAGGTAGCTTTTGCTTTACAAAAGTAACTTAGATTTAGGTGCCTCAAGAGCTCAGACATCTAAGTCTTCAGAAGCATTAGTATTAAGGTAGCCTGGGATACACTGCTGTTAAGAGGATGAAATCTGAAAAGGAATTGTGAGGAGCACTATGTACTGTTAATACATATAAAATTGTGATTTTTATTCTTTAGAAAATCCTTACAAAAGCAAATTAATCATTATATATGATATCACTTTAGAAAGATCCCTTTTTATCCACACACTGTAGAGGTTATCCTCAGAACAGGAGGTGATTTCCTCTTTTCAGCTTCTAAGATTAATTAGTTTATTTGACTCCAAGTAGTGCTTTGACCTTTCTGCTTTATGTAGGTTTTTTTATAGTATTAAAAGCCAGACTGACACATGCTAGCAGAATTTTATTGACACTTTGCTGTGTAATTTCATCAGTTGCACTTCATCTCCTGATATTCTAAGTACCAAGATTACCAGTAAAGCTGGGGCACTGTGCTTATGAGTGTAAAAGTATTTCTGCATTAACTTAATTTCCTGAAGATTTATGGCTGCTGTAAATGTTTTCCATGGGTGACTTCTTGTTGAGCTGCTCCTTGAACAAGCAGGAAAAGCTGGTCACCAGAGCAAAGCACATAGCTGCGAATACCTTAGGGAAAATGTTGCTGGCTTTTACATGTGCACTATAAAGATATAGAAATATGAACTTCAATACTTTTGCATTAAAACCTAAATAGAATTTGAGTAATGTTTGAAATGAAAAAGCTAACAGTAAGGACTGTGTTCTTCTGTGTAATTCTGAAATATTCTGTTTGCTTTTTAAAAACTCGGTTTGAAAGGCTTTTGAATTAGGAGGGCATCTAGAAGAAAAGAAAAGTAGTACGTTGTAAACAGGAATATTGTTGACTAGCAAGTAACAGGAATCTACAGGAATGTTTTATTTTGATTGCTTTTTGTTTTGTTTTTTTTTTTTGGATGTGTCTTTTTTGTTTTGGTTTTGGTGTTTGTTGTTTTGTTTGTTTGTTTGTTTGTTTGTTGTTTTAGTTTGCTTTGTGACAAGATTCTTGGATCACAGAGAATTTAACCTCTTGATTATCTTTGTTGAACCTTCAGAGGTGAGCTGGACATCTGTGGTTGTATCATGAGAACACATCCTCCACTCAACTCACAGGTTTTATCAAAGGAATAATTGATTCAGATTTCAGTTGTTCCCATGCATTTGCTACTCGGTGAACTCCAGCCTGCAAATCTGCTAGCATTCACTACAAAACTCTCTTGAATCATGCAAGTTAATGAAGCTCAGCAGTGGCATCCTACATAAAGTTCATTTTATTAGTATAAGTGGCATATTCAAATGATTCCTGGTAAGCAAATGTAATCAGTGTATCAGTTGGTATCATTCATTTAAGCAAAGTTATGCTTTCCATAGCTCAGAAATGAGTGAACTTAAAGCACTGAACTCCCACCTCTTTTCCTTGGACTAGCATTGTGTGAGCTTCATCTTGACAGGCGTGAAGCAAGGCATTCAGTCGTGATGTAGATTCTTTCTTATAACAGTCCACAAGTTAGGTAGAATCTGATGATTCTCTTTGCTGATTAGTTTAATGTGTGGGTTTAGAAGGAAAGCAATCCCCTTCCTGTGGTAGCTAGGGAGCGTAGCTCTTTTTCTCACTTATTACAAAATAACTGATAATTTTTCCTGGATTCAAGGCAATGTCAGGAACAGTGTCTCACTTTGATTTGAAAAAGGGACTGAAGTAGAATTTAACTGGGGGAAAGCTGAAGTTTCTCATTAAATGTCTTAGATTTAGTGTATATGTTTTATACATAGATATATGTGCATGTATACATATACAAGGATAAGCCATCACTTGAAGGGCCTTACTCAATACCCTGTCTTGATACTGGCAATGCTGAAGGGGTGGCTGCTGTGAAGTTTTCTGAATGGCTGTTGTCTCTTGGAGGTCTTCCAACATAATTTCAGGCTATAGTCACTGAGGCATTAGAAGTTGTGAGCCTGAGTAAACCTGCTTTCACAAATTGCCCTATTACTCCCACAGTGGGGAGACTGCTTTCAATTGTGGCAAAATTCAGCTTGAATGCTGCATAGGAAGACGGCAACTATGAGGCATTAGGCCTAATAGTTGCATCTCCTGAACACCACAGCAAGGAAGTACATTTGGCAAGGTGCTATGCACAGTGGCTTGCATAACTTTGCTCTCTCACTTATTGAGGGGTCTTACTGGCATTATTTCCCCACTTTCAGTTTGTGTGTTGGGCTTATGTGTCAAGTTTTTAATAGTGGGGGAAATGTGTTATGAGAAAAGCTGAGGAGCTGCCCCACTTCAGATAAGAGCCAGCTCCAAAAAGGACCTGCTGCTGGCCAGAGCTGAGCCAATGAGCGACGCTAGTGTTGCCTCTGAGAGCATATATAAGAAAGGGGAAAAACTGTTGCAAAACAGCAGCTGGAAGAGAGGAGTGAAACAGCCCAGCGGCCGCCAAGGTCAGTGCAGAAGGAGTGGAGGAGCTCCAGCTGCTGAAGCCAAAGTTCTCGATAGTCCATGGAGAGAACCACGGAGGAGAAGGCTGTCCCCCAGCAGCCCGTGGAGGGTACTGTAGGGGAGCTGGCTGTCCCCCAGCAGCCCATGGAGGGCACCATGGGGGAGCAGGCTGTTCCTCCACAGCCCATGGAGGGGACTGTGGGGGAGCAGGCTGTTCCTCCACAGCCCATGGAGGGGACTGTGGGGGAGCAGGCTGTTCCTCCACAGCCCATGGAGGGCACCGAGGGGGAGCAGGCTGTTCCTCTGCAGCCCATGGAGGGAACTGTGGGGGAGCAGGGTGTTCCTTCACAGCCCATGGAGGGGACTGTGGGGGAGCACACTGTTCTTCTGCAGCCCATGGAGGAGACTGTGGGGGAGCAGGCTGTTCCTCTGCAGCCCATGGAGGGGACTGTGGGGGAGCAGGCTGTTCTTCTGCAGCTCGGGAAGGACCGCAGCGGAGCAGATCTCCACACTGCAGCCCATGAAGGAACCCACAGTAGAACAGGTGAGTTGGTGGGAGCTGCTGCTAACTGGGGGGGGACGGGGGACGACGACACTGGAGCAGTCTTCTACTGAAGGTCTGCATCACAAGTGCCATGTTGGAGCAGTTCTTGAAGAACTGTAGTGTGTGGAGAGCACTCAAAGATCAGGAAGGCTAGCATCCTGTGGCTGTGGGGACCTGATGCTAGAGCAAGGGTGGAGTAATGGTGAAGGTTCAGCAGAGACAAAGCATTATGAACCAAATGCAGTCCCCATCCTCTGTGCTGTTTGGAGGCAGAAGGAAGAAGAGAATAGATGGAGGTAGGAGATGTTTTTAGTTTGCTTTTAATTCTACTGCTCTAGTCTGTTATTTGAAATAGGCAATAAATTACATTAATCTCCCTAAACTGAGTCAGTTTTGCTCATAACAGTAAGTGATGGGCGATCTCCCAGTCCTTATCTCAACCCTGAGCCCTTGTCCATCATATTTTCTGCCCCTGTCCTTTTGAAGAAGAAGGAGTGAGAGAGCAATGTGGTGCCGCTGATCTAGCCCTGGGTGCAAAATTACCACTGTCTGTTTTGTAGTAGAGACAATATTTCAAGCAGAATTAAAGCCTTCCTTTTAGTGGCATTAGGATCTGCTACCCACAGGTGTTGTGTTGGTCTGATGTACAGGCTAAGATTTGGGGTTATGAAGGTAGTTCAGCAGAGTTCTATCTGGTCACTGCAATCGAGGCACTGTACTTTGGTTCGTATATTCTTTCTGTCCTCCAGCATCATTTTCTGTTAAACCACAGTCACAACTATTTGGTGGTGCAGAGTAGAAAGCTGCTGAGGTTATCTTTCGGACTCAGGCTCAGTTGGCCTTTGTTACACAGGAATGAAATGTAATTCACCTTCCTTCAGGGTTTCTCAGTGTAAGGAGAAGATGTCTGTTTCTCAGAAACGAAATAGTTCAAAAGCTTAACTGAATTATTAAAAGCTACCTTTTTACCTTTTTAACACAAAAACAACAACAACAACAAAAAAATCCATAACTTAACATCATAGATTGCACTGTTGTGAAGCAGAGCCTGTAGCTGATCTCTGTGTCAACTTCCTGGCTCTGCTGCTTCTGCTAGTCCCATCTAAGGGACTGCACTACCACTGCCATCTTCAGGAATGCCTGTACATGACTGTACATGACATCAGCCAGATAACAGGTGCAAGGCAGTCAGAACATCTGTAAACTCTTGAGAGCTAAGAAATCATCATATAAAAATATCTTTCTATTCTGCTTTAGGTTTTTAATAAATAATTGACCAGGAGTAGGTGCAAAGACTGTGGAATACTATGTTCAAGAAGAAAAAGGGGAGGGGGGAAGGTGGAAAGTAGCAAAAGATATCATTGCTGTATCCACTACTAACTGCAAATGGTGGTCTGTGGCTCAGTTTACAGAGCAGCTGAGTACAATAAAAAAAAAGTATAGATACCTTTCTTCCTTACTAATGCGTACTTGCTTGAAATGTCATTGTGACGGCATAAAGAGCAGTGGGCTGCCAAGGCTCCCTACAGGTTTGTATTTACCAGTGGAAGCAGTACTGTTGCAGCTGTGTTGCTGCTGCTGTCTAAGCTAACTTCTAATTTGCCATTGTGTGTGTGATCACAGTTCTTGAAAATTACATCTGTAGAAGAATAGCACATGCTGCTTTCCTTGTGTAATGTAAGGTCCATGTTTATGGCTGATGCACTGCAACAGGTTGCAGTGGTTGTTTTTTGTTTGTTTTTTGAGTTTGATACTGAGCTTGAATTAATTCCAAATCTCGATAAAGTACATGGAACATTCCTAGGGAAAATACCTATGCTTTGCAAAGGTCTAAATCAAATGGGAAGTTAGATTAGCATGTTTTGCGCAGTTAATAACTTGTCTTTCTTAACATCACACCTTGAAACTTAAAGTTGATAATAACTTCTTTGTTCTCTCTTCTTACAGCAATACACAGAAACTCTTCTGGAACTCTTGTGACCTCTGTAGGCCAGAAGTCTGTAGAGACTTCATTCCATAGTGATGAGTCTGAAGTTTTTTTTTATTATTATTATTTTTCTTAATTGGCTACGCTCTCTGAAGAAGTTAGCCGGCCAACTAAAAAGAAATTTGCCAGCAGCTCCTTACTTCAACACATCTTAATCAGTCATTATATCTGTATTGATAGAAGTTTTGATGAGATCTTGAGCAAGCCTGGTGTAATTTGACAACAGAACTCTTCATCTTGGACTCTTAGCTGATAAATTTGCAGAGTTGAATTAATGCCTTTTTTTATCCAAAATTATCAGTTGGAAATTAAATGATTTTTTTTCCCTGTGAAAATAACTAGTTTAGTTTTCATGTTTGCCTTAATGTGTTTTGCATTTGGTTCTATTGCAGTCAGAAAATGCCCTCTGTCTAAATACCACTGATCTTTTCCTCTCTATGTTTTGGTTTATTGCTTCTTTCTCTCTTTAGTGCATTATTTCCTGTGTATATTTGATGTCTTTCAGATGACTTGGCTTCTCAGAATGTATGTTCTTGTTTTCAGTACATCATGATCTCCAGCAAAAACAAAAGGCATTATGTCTATTGAGAAGGTTTAATGGTGCTGCAGTTGTTACATGTAATTATTTGTAGTTTGACTATACCACAGTAGAGTAGTAAACTGTTCTGTGTTGCTGCACACTGTTAGCCTCTGCTGGAAGTATGTGGAAGGCTGTTGTAGCATGCTGTCTTTTTCTTTCTAAATGTGTTACTGGTATTTGTTTCTTGAACAGCAGTGGTAAATGAATGCACAACCTGAATGCAGTTAGGAAGTTTGCTGATGGCACTAATCTGAGTGGTGCTGCTGACTCTCTGGAAGGACGAGAGGTCTTGCAGGGAGGTGTAGATACTTGGGGCACTGACAATCAGCAGTGGCACAAAGTTCAGCAAAGGAAAGTGTTGCATTCCGCATGCGGGACAGAACAGTGCCAAACACAGGCACAGGTGGGGACAAGTGACTGCAGAGCAGCTCAGCAGGACGGCATGTGGGAGTGCTGGTGACAGCAGCTCAGCACGAGACAGAGCTGTATCTGGGCAGCCAAGGGGCAAACCGTATGTTGGGGTACATCAAACAGCACAGCTGGCTGGTCAAAAGAGGTGATTCTCCTCCTATGTTCTGCATTGACGTGGCACATCTTGAATATTATGTGCAGGTTTTGGCTCAACAATATAAGAAGGTATTTAGGTCCTTGGAAATATGCAGAGACAGGCAGCAAAGCTGGTGACAGGGCAAAAGGAATCTTGTGAGGAATACTTGGGGCATTGGGCTGCCAGGTCTGGAGAAGAGGCCAAGGGCTGATCTCTCTGCTCCCTGCAGCTCAATGAGAAGAAGGTGCCGGGCTCTGCTGCTGGGAGCTGATGTCAGAATGGAAATGGCACAGAGCAGTGCCAGGCTCAGATGGGACATTAAGAAACGTTTACTGTGAGGGTGGTTAAACACTGAAATAGGCTTCCAAGGGAAGTGGTTCAAACTCCATGGCTTTCAGTATTTAAGAACTGTTTGGATAATGATCTCATCAATACAGTTCAGCTTTTGGTTAGCCCTGAAGTGGTCAAGCAGTTGGATTCAGTGTTCTCTGTTAAGTCTCTTCCAACTGAATTATACTACTTCTAAATAAATTGCTGGGGAGCTTTTTGTTGCTATTGTTTGATTGATTTGACTTCAAGAATATTGCACTTGAATCTCTTAATTTGCAAGTTCCAAGTGATTTGTGGAAATAGGGGATACAAAATGATCAAAGCTTGTATTTTCATTTTTAAAATAAAATCCATGTGCGTATACTGGAATTTTACATAAAATATATTTCTAGTATTTTAATCTGCCAGCCTGCCCGATTTCCAGTATTGCTGAGCCTTCTTTTGGAAACACTTCTCACATTGCAAATTGTTTGTGCTTGCATACCTAGTTACATAATTTCAGTCTTGTGGTAACTTCAGCGTTACCGCCTTGTCATTCTGCTGTTCCTCAAACTCAAAGATTTTTTTTTTTAACTGAGATAATTTAACACGGACTTTACTATGGTTGGAGAATATTCTGTCAAAGATCATGCATATTTCTGCAGGTTTTTTGTTTGTTTGTTTGTTCTCGTTTTGTTGCTGTTGTTGTTTTTGTGTTTTTGTTTGTTTGTTTGTTTTAGTAATAAGTTACAAAGATTTGGAAACAGTTTTGCCCATAAGTTGCATTTTCTGTAATTCTGTCTTTGGTAATTGTGGACAGTTACTTGGAAACATTATTCTTAGCTTTTTTAACTGTTCCTGTTCCCTGGTGCTTACTGGTGTCAGAAATTACCTCCCTAGCTGCTGGCTGCAATGTTAAAACTGAATGGGGGGTTGCGGAAAACCATAATAAACACAATATATGCTTAAAGGATTTGGTTTTCCTGATACTGAATTTGAACTTTTTTTAATAAATAGGATCAGTGCTTAATGTCAGGTTTTCCTTTCAGAACATGAAGTGATGGACTCTAAAAGTCAGTCCTGGGTTGATAGAGGGGGTAAGAATCAGTAGTTGTGACAGGCTGGCTGCAGGAGCATTGCTTCACTTTCGGCAACTGCATCATGGTATTAGGGACCCAGAGGAACGTGCTGCTGCTGCTGCTGTCTGCTGTAGAGCAGTTTTTAACACAGTGATGCCAAAACTATTATTCAGATTTCTATATTATTTGCTATATTTTTAATAACACTTGAGTTTTCAGCATCTGAAAGCACATCTACATGCAAAAATTCAGTGATAGGTTTTCTTAATGAGACTCTTCTTTTTCATTCTAACCTGCTAGACCAAAATAATACCTATAGAAAGCATGAATCTATAGTCAGTGCAAAGTCTGCTTGGGAGCACAAATGCAGTTTGCAGTGGGCTGTGACTGCTGAGTTGGGCTTTTAGTTTGGTACTAAGAGATGCCAAAAAGAAGACTGCAGCATCTGGTGCCATTTTTGTTATCTTTTATTTTAGCAATGCATTATTTGTACTAACTGTAATTAATTAGTAATTTAAATTGAAATTTTTGAGGGTTCTTGTTTGTTTTTGTTGTTTTTTTTTTTCAAAAGGATGTGGTATGTTCATGCATTGTTCTGGTACTTTTTTTTTTTCCTTTGGGAGCAGAACTGTGGAATTAATAAGGATATGAATGAAATCTCCTATTTTGAAGCAGTATTCTGTACTGTAAATACCAGGGAAACTTGGTGACAGGGGAGAGTCTCATGCTGTCGAGAATATACAGTTTCCACAACTTGTAACTGTCTTGAGATGGAGGAAATAACCAAACAACGTGCTTACAAGAACTCTGTCCATTTGCAGCTCTAGTAGTTAAAAGTGTGTGGTTTTAGCTAATTTCAGAGATAACAAGATTCTACAAAACCTCTGCAAAGTATTTATCAATTGAAGCTCCTAGACCTAATTTATGAAGGTGGAAGGAAGCTGTAGGTATGCACTCAGTATAACAGTGTTGATCCTTGTGTTTTGTTTTGAAAATGAAACTAAATTTACTGCCTTCTGGGTTGGAGAGCCAAACAGAGACAAAGGCTATGTAGCCTTTGGGATCTTCCCAGAGTGCCTCTTTTAAGAAATTTCTGTAGCTTATGAATTGTAATATGTGAACACTCAACTTCTGTTAAGATACCATTATGCACTCTTACACATTAGAAGCTGTCAACAGTTGTCTGGTTTGAAAAAAATGCAGATATGGAAACAAGGTAGTCATAGATGCATCATATGCTGTAATAGTGTTTTTCAGGGGAAAAAAAAGGGGGTGCACTATTCTTTTGAATAAAGTTGAGGTAGATTTGAGTTCTCTTGTGCATTACATGTGGCTCAACTGGAAACTTTTTGCTTCAGTAAAGTAGCATCTAAGTGAATGAGAAAGCTTCTAAGTGAGTTGTCTCATTGTCTCTGCCCAGCTAGCATGTGCAAGGTTTTCTATCAAAACCTTAACACCATTTGCTGTTTTATGAAACTTGTAACCTTTGGGACGGTATTTACATGTAGCCATGACATGAATTGTTTCCCACTATCTGTGCTAAAGCTGACTAGTCTGCAAGTGGGGTGATTCAAGCCTAAAACGGTGTGAATTGGCTCGAGGTCATGATGAGTAACATCCAGAAGCTACGTGTGCATAGGCCACAGTGTGCTCTTGCTGGCTGGTAGGATGCTGCCTGTGCAGCGTTTCCTCAAGCACATCTGTTCTTGCTGCTGTGGAGCAGAAAGAAACTAATTTTCCTGCTTTTCCCATTTTATACATCCTATTTTAAAAGTCAGGGGGGGAAAAAAGCAAAAAAGTTTTAACACTGAGGCAGTGATGACAATAAGGAGTGAATAATTCTGTTCCCTCCCCAATTACAAAGTGATTTTGGAGGCTTTCTCTGACTGGCCATGCCTAGTGGCAGACCACCTGATTCTGTAAATAAGCATCTTCTTTGAAGGATCTGACTGCTGTCCATCCCATAAGCTGCAAAGATTTATGAAAAAAATGATGCATGGAATTCCTTATCTATCTTACAGAACTGGATTAATCATATTTCAGAATTGTAACAGAAGGCCATTTAGAAACCCATGGAGAAAATTTCTATGTTTATTCTGTGAGGAACATAATGAAATAGTGTACCTTTACAATAAGGTTGTTGGTTGTTGTTTTCTTTCTCCATGCATTTTACTTTATTTCTGCTTTGTTTCACCCAGTATTTGTGGGAAGTACAAAATCAAGAGTAGTGGTTACCCCACTCCTCTGCTTTCTGAGCAGGGAAAAGCACATGTTTGGGAATCTGTGTTGATACAGTCTAGCTTCAGGTTGTCTCTCTGCTTGGATAGAAGTCTCAGGACTGGGATGAGTCTTTACAGAAGTGTGCTGTACCATGCAGAGAACGTGGCATAATGAAACTGATGAAAAACCTTAAGCAGGCAGCAATTCCACTACAGATAAGATGGATAAGAGCAATGCTTTTCTGTTTTAATACTGGAATTTTCAATCTGCTTTTATTTTTAGTAGAGAGAAACTGCTGTTCTGTGGCTAACCAGGGTGCTGAACATTTTCTTCAATAAAGGATACAGAGCAAGACTACAGCACCTTAACATGTAGCTTCTCTCCGTGTGTGCTTATGGTATTATACAATCCAAAGCATATGTTTGCTTTGGATTGATGAACTAGCTCAAATTTTGTTCTGTTTAAATGTTTGGGAAAAAAATCTGTGAAGTTATTGCTGGCACACTGTACAAAATGCATCTCTGATGCTTATTCCAGCATCAGAATTAAATGCATGACTTGTCAGACTTGGCAACTAAACCCTTCTTCTGTGTGAAGGGAAAAAAAAAATCTGGCTGGTAGATTTGTCCGTATTTTTATCATTGCGTTATCATTTTAACAAGTTTTTTACCCACCTTCTTTTGCAGGTAGCATCGCCAGTTCCTTTCAGTGCCAGTCAATCCATCAAGATCACATTTGCAACGATGATGGCGACAAGGTGAGGAGTACATAAATTTCTCCTTCAAAAGATCCATGTTTGTCTTTTTTATTTATTGCGTTTACTATATAAAGTCTTTGCTATGCCAGCATAGTGCTCATTTTTAAGAATTGCTTTGAATTGTTGTGTTAAAAATACACTTGATTCAGGACAATCTTTTAGTAAGTGAACGGATGGTGTTTCTCTTTTTGCTTGGTATTCTGAGCACCGCTGCCAAATGATGCTCTGGGTCGATAAAGCAAGGCTGCTGTAACTGCGAGGTAAGCTAGTTGCTCTGCTCTGCAGTGCTCTGCTCTGACTTCATCAGTTTGGAAGGTTGGTGGACTTTTTGCAAGGCTTTTATTTTCCTGCTCTTTGCAAGCAGCTTACTTGATACTGAGCTGATTTTTTTGCTTTTATTGCTTGGAAAAGGGCACATGTTTGCCCAGTTTTAAACGATACTCTTTAGAAATCGGAATTAGGTCTGGAGGTCAGAGCCTTCGTAAGAGCAAAACCCCCTTGCGTTGTGAAATCAGAGTAAGGTTAATTTCATAGCACTGCAGCTAATCGGAAGGACGCGCGGCTCGCGGGGCCGAGGACTCGCGACCGCCGTCCCCGACGATGAGGGGCGGGGCCTTGCGCCGCTCCCCGGACCGCCCGCGGAGGAGGGTGGGAACGGAGCGGGCCGCCGACCAGGGCCGCAAGCCCCGCCCCCGGCCGCTCACCGTTTGTTTCCGGCCGCGGCGGTTACGTCCTCGGGCCGGTCCGCCAGCCGCTGCCGGGTGCAAACAAAGGGCGTCTGCTGGGTGCGAGGCGGGGCCGGCTGCTCTCTGCCCGCCCTCGCCGGAGCGCGACGTCACTGTCGCCCGGAGGCGGCGCGGGGCCGCGGGGCCCGCAGGGGCGGAAGATGGCGGGCGGTGGCGGCAGCTGGCCGCAGAGGGCGGCGGGCCCAGCGCGGCAGGATCGCAGGCAGCAGCCGGAGCTCGCCCTGTGATGGGCGGAGGGCGCCGGGCCGCCATTCCCGGAAGCGACCGTGCGGGCAGGCGGCGCAGGCGCAGGCCCGGGCCGGGCGGCGGCGGCGGCGGCGGCGGCGGGACCCGCAGCCGACACGACAGGAGGCGGCGGCGGATCCTCGCCGGGCACCGCGGGGCGCGCCGAGGAGGCGGGGGCGCGGCCCCGCGGGGCCCCGCGGCCGCAGGTACTGGCGGGGAGCGGCGGTTGGCCGTGCTCGGGTCGTGGGCCGTGCCGGTTCGGCGGGCGAGGGCCGGTTGGCCGCGGCCGCACTTGGGTCGGGTCGGGACGAAGCGACGGAGGCTCCTGTGTGCCTGCGGGACGCCGCACTGTCACGAGCCGAGAAGGGACGGCTATCCGGGAAGAGACCGCTGCACAGGCGTGTGGCTTGGGGCTCTGCCTTCCGGATTTTCTGTTCGTACCGAGTCCTATTTCCCGTTCGTGGACCAGGTAGATGTTTGTCGCTTCCTTAAGAAGTGTGTTTTGAAACTAGTTGTGCGTTGAGGTATTTTCTGGAGGCGTTGGCTTTCAATTGCGACTCTTTGTAGTCACGTAGTTACTACTTATGCATTCACTGACGTGAAGCCTTACGAAAGTGGCTGTGGGAGCACACACTCTTCTTGGTGTGTTGTTTGACCACTTGGTGAGGCACCCAGAGTGCTAAGGCAGCCCTGGTCACCAGGAGCCCACCTTGTCCTGGCGTTACTGCCTGACCTGCAGCACTGCTTAGATGCTTGTTCCTAATCACCCATCTGCTAGAACAACAGGTCTGCTTCCAGTTGCTATATAATGGCATTTACCCTCATCTCAGGGACTTTGCTGTTTGCTGGCCCAGCAGATCCCATTGTTTCTTGAAATATGTATACACCTTTTTTTTTCCCCTCTCTTTACAAGGTGTTGTAGCTTGGGCATTGGAGACTTGCTGTCCTGAAATGGAGGAAGCTCCATTTGGCTGGGCAGTTAGAAAAGAGGGTGCACAGTCAGAGAATTGAGTGTGAGACAGTGTGGGTGAGGTAATATGCTTGCTGTAGTGAGAAGATGGTAATGTTATCTTCCGCAATCACCAAACCCATGGAAAAGAAAATATGCGTGTATAGTATTACATATGAAGGTTTCCCTGAGCTTGTTACCAGCAAACAGAACATGCAAAGAACAGTAATTGCAAGAAAAGTAGTGTATGTGTTGGAGGGGTTCATAAGTTAAGGATCTCAAGATTTTCTTATTTGAACCTTAGCTAAAGCCTATCTATATATATTTTTTTCAATATGATTTACTCTGACTATAGGAGATAATGTGATTTAAAGTGACATTGTTTCCCAAGTCAAATTACTCTTTCGCTCTTCAAAGAAAGTCTAGGAAATTATTTCTGTACTCAAGAGTAGCATGACTTTTGCAGTTACGAAGACAAGTGAGTTCTTCAGGACTACTACTGAAAAGCAAGTTGAAACTTAAACTATAGTCTCGTTGCTTTTCAGAACAGCCTTGATAACAATGTGGGCTAAACTGCTCGTGAACTGCATGGGAATTTGTATGGAGTAAGTTTTAGATTCCTAAAGGATTTGTCGTTTAATCCTTCTGAAGAGATCTTCCTCTTTCCCAGGAGAAATCTGAAAGGTAGGAGTAAGAATATAGATGGAGTGTGAAATTCATTTCTTCCTGTTTCAAGTTGAGGCACTGATACTTGAAACATCCGGTGAGGTGGAGGCTTGACTTGGAATTGATCTTCTTTTACTGAGCTCTTGTGAAAGATCATGAAAACTTCCTTTGCTTTTTGGTGCCCTCTACTGATTTCCGTTTGTCAAAATGTCTAAAGCCAAGTCGTTTTTCTTCAACAGCAGTAAAATTCTAACAGCAGCTATTTAAAAACGGTGGGAGAGAAGAAGGAAATCTCTGTTGCACCTTAATGATGCCTTTTGCTGATTGCTGTCCAACCAGTTTGCCTGGATTGCATTGGAACTATTCCTCACTTGATAGAAAAATAGTTTCACAGAACTGCTTCACCGGAGTTCTTCTGTTGGCTTTCCATCTTTAGAAGGGCTGGTGATACTCACCTTCTCTTCTCAGGAAAATGAGAAGCTTTTCAGCATTTCTGTCCTGAGAGCTTTTTACCTCTTAGATCATTTGCAGTAGTACTGTCTTTTGTATTTATCATAACAACTTTATAACTGAAAATAAATAAGAAAAATAAGAAAACCAACAGAACTGTGCTTCACGTAGGCACTGTGACAATTATGTATTTTGTTTGCTGATTGTCTGAAGAGCCTTTTCATCTTCAGAGTCTTATCCCTGAAATCTCCTGACATCTCTGACCTAGGCAGACTTGACAGTAGCCCAAACTCAGCCGTGTCCTCCCTCCAGAGCCTTGTGTCTGTCACCTCAGCTCAGTTCACTTTTGCAGGATTTGTTTTTTCTTTCATGTTGTGATAAGTCATTGTATGAGCTGGGGTGAGAGCATTTGTAGTGCACCTTCTGATATTGCTGAGCAGATGCTCTGGCTGGTGGTCTTCATCAGTGCTTTAGGAAATGGTCTTTCCAGAAGAATGAAGAAAGATTAAGGTTTTCTTCCTTACTCAAGTTATTTCCTTTCAGTCCTGCTAAGAACTCTTCTGTTTCTAGGATTTGAAATATAAAATAATTCTTTCCTAAAACCAGAGAAAGAAGACAAAGAGTTTTCTTGTGAGCTCGTTCTTTCTTTTTCCTATGCCCTTTGCTGTAACCATGGAAATAGCGATTGTCATGCGTAGTGTTTCTTGGTCGCTACTGAAATTTTCATCTCATGTTCTAGTTACATAATAACTTTCTCAACTTTTGACAGACCTTTTTGAAGAGCAGAGCCGAATTATGTACCATTTTAAAAAATCTGGGTGTGCGAGGGTTAAGTGGTGTAAACCAGACACATGCTCACAAGGATACTTTTGTATAGTAACTTTTGGACCTCTGCTCTGAAGTATTATTTGATTTGCTTTTTTTCCTGCTTTCACAAGACAATGCTACTGAAAGCCTTGTGCATAACATTATCATTTCCCACTTTACTTTGTGCTGGCTCAGATTCACAGGATGACTGAGGCTGGAAGGTGCCTGTGGAGGCTGTCTGGGCCAACCCCTTCGGAGCTACCCAGAGCAGGTTGCTCAGGATCATATCCACGTGGACTGAAAATCTCAGAGAAAGGGACTCCATAGCCTCTCTGGGTAACATGTGCCAGTGCTCTGTCACCTGCACAGCAAAGGTCTTCCAGGTGTTAAGAGGGAACTTCCTGTGTGCCAGTTTATGTCCATTGCTTTTTGTCTTGGCACTGGACACCACTGAAAAGAGCCTTCTTTGCATTCTACCTTCATGTGTTTGTACATGTTGATGAGAGCTCCCTGAGCCTTCTCCTCTACAGGCTGAACAGTCCTAGTTCTCTCAGCCTCTCCTTGTAGGAGGGATGCTCCTGTCCCTTCATTATCTAAGTGACGTTTTGGAAACAGCATAACACGTACACTCTCTCTTAAGACTTCTGAACCTTAAGAGCTGTCTGACTGGGCTTCCTTTCAGCCACCTGATTTGTTTGAGCCAGCTCTCAGGCTTGCGGAAAGTCTGTTCTTCTTTTCCAAGTTTTCATTAGGCCAAATTCACATTACAGTAACGTTTCTTCATCAGGAAATTGTCTTGTGTGTATTCTGCTAGCCACGCATTCAAGTTGTCTGTAGGTCACAAATCTAAAACTGAATTTGGGCTAGAAAAAAAATTGTGACATTTAAAATAATTACTGGTAAGGAAACTTGTCACTGGAATCTAAGCAGGATTTAAGTCTTCTTGTGATGCATTATTTGGAACAGTTGTCTTGAATGTTGGGGATCTAAGGTTTTAATTTGGTGTCTGAGGATGCAAAGTGTGGACATCACTATTCAAATGTTTATTTTCTCACTGCATGCCCACTTTACATCCACTTCTCTGCTGTGTTCCCAACCAGCAAACATAATTGGTTTGTTAGTTCCTTCCTGTGGTGTCATGGTGCCTGATCCAGGTATTTTATTATTCATGAGAACAGGTAAGATGTTGATATGGAAGGTGGTGGGTTGAAGCAGAAGTTCTACATCCTGCTTAACACTGCAGGGGCTGTGCAAAAAGTGTTTTGACATCTAACTGTTCTAGCACACAGTTTTCAGCCACCCCCTTCTCCCACATGAAAATAAAAGCAACAAAACAGTGCTCTGCTAACCAGCACAACCAAGCCACCAAAATTCATTGGGCAAACTCGGTTATGCTGGCTCAAGATACTTATTGATGGTGCTTATTCTGCCGACTAATATTTGTCTAGAGAGCTTTTGCCTCTAAAAGTGTGTCATCTCAGTGTGACTCTGCTGGCAAATCTGTATGTAGACAGACCTTTCGTGATGCAGCCCTGTGTCCAACTGGATTTTTTACTTTATCTTGGAAAAAAAAAAAAAAAAACCAGCAATTAGGCTTGGAAGTAATCTTCTGTTTTTGATTTTTTTTTTTTTTTTTTTTTCCAATTCTTAGAACATTATTCTTAAATTTATTTCATATACTTGTTTTTTTTTTTTTTTTTGTAGTACTTCCTTTCTAGATTTATTAAGGTCTAGAATATTGAGGGTATATTTAGAGGAAATCTCAGTCTTTATGTATAAAGCCCATGAGCTTTTTTGTTTGTTGTCTTAAAAGTTGATACGATCACTTTTTTCTCCCAGTATTTTTTCGCACAGTTAATTTTAGATATTCTTGTTTAGGGCAAAGGGTGAGGAGGTGTTGGTTTGTCCCTTTTTCATCAATAGTCTTTATCTCATTCTTCCTCAGCTGTAGTGTCTGACATCCTTACAATTTCTCTGTGTACAGTTAATGGAAGTTTGGTTTATGTATGTGGAAGGAGAGAGTGCATATTCCTGTGAATGTGTCTGGTCAAGGAGCATTTCAGTGTCAAGAGGAAATACTAAGAAAAGCAGGAAACTGTAAGGGGAATCTTCAGGATGCCAAACCTGGCCAACAAATGGGAAGGGGAATGGTAATGAAACTAAAACTGGTCCATCAGTAATAGAGAAAAGTATGTGGGAATGCTTATTGCAGTGAGATTATGTGATCAAGTACTTTATCAAATGGCATGATAAGGAAGAGCAAGAAGCAACAAGTGAAACTGTACACGGAGATTCAAATCTGCCAGCCAAACTTATAATAAGAGGGACTAGAGAAGGTCTAAAACCAGCCCCGGTAAACCACACTGACTATGAAGAAACTGCAGGCAGATAAGGACTTTGCAGCTGATAGGGATGCAAACCCGAGGCCTGACTGGAGGACCTGTGGAGCTGTGCACTGGGTAGGGTAACAGGGTGGGCAGAAGAAGGGTACAAAGGAGTCAGTCTTGTGCATCCACAGCCGGTCGGTTTGCTCATCCGTATGAGCCCTGCTGTGGGCACCCCGGCCTGTCCTGTCTTCTCATGCAGCCTTTCTTAATGAGCCCTCTGTGTGACCTCACCCTTATCTCGTGTGTGTGTGCTTGTGCTGCATGGACGGGATGCGTGAGGAGCCCAGCAGTCCTGTGCGGCTGGTGTCCAGTGCCCTGGGGTCTCTGCACCAGCTCCAGTGCTGTGACCTCTGGCGCTGGGGCGTAGCCAGTTCCACCATGAAGCCAGGGAGGTGAGTGGCCAGATGGTTTGTTGTGCATCACCTTCCCTGTGTGTGCACAGTGTGGGGTTTTTTTGCCTAGGTAATTGTATTAATTTAAATAACTTCTATTTTGCTGCACAGGTATCTGTTTTAAATATATTTAAAAAGTGGAATTCTTGAGTTTCAGCTTTTTGAGTATATTGAATTCCAGTTACAAAAAGGCATGAAAATAATTTAGAAAAGAATCTGTAGGCAAATATATTTTGCTAGACGTTGTCCAAATTAAAACTGATCACTTAGAGGTCACTTATTTGCAAACAGAGATTTTATATATATATGTATTTTTAAGGTTCAATACTACTGCTTAGCTACTGCAATTGTGAAGGCATCTTAAAAGCATACACAGAAAGTGTTGAATGCTTGTTCTTTGTATGAACATTAGTCTCGTCTACCAGAGGCATCTGAAGGATTCAGAAGACAAGTTTGATTCCTATTTTGGTGTTTGGAATCAGAAGTTTGGTGTAGATTTTTAGGCAGACTTGCAACTTGAAGATAGAAGTATGAGAACTTGGTGTAAAACACTGTTTGGGAATGCAAGTGAAAGGAACAACCAACTCTGTTCTTCTGTTTAAGGACCTCCTCCTTTTATTTACACAAATGAAAACTGTAGTTTGAGATGCTTTGCATCTCTGGGGAAAGAGTTGTACTTTATTGGCCGTAATTATCTCATATTAGTTCATTTCCTACAGTCCATATTGCTTGTCTTCTCGTATACTTTGAAGCCCAACATTGCTATTTACGTAGTCCCCAGATTTGATATTAATATAGTTGCCTGGAATTTTTTTTTTTTTTTTTTTTTTTTTGAGACTCCTATTACAGTGTTTTATCTGTGCTACTTGAGGTCAATGGTAGAATGCAGCATGGCAGTTCTTGTATTGCTTTTATTTTTCATGTGTTCAGACAGGGGATTCTGGAGTGGAAAATTCTTGGTCATTTGTTAACAGCATGGGAGATTATAATTCTGATGGAAGAGAAGGTTGAAGCTCAGGAAGAGACTTTTATTGCCTTTGCTTCTGGATTCTGGGGCATCTGTGGGATTTTTTTGACAAGAATGGCATCTGTCTCTATTTAAATAGAGTCAATAGCATGGTTGCACAGTGGAAAAGAGGTAGTTGTATTCAGAAGCAGCTGGGAGATCATTACTTGGAAGCAAATGGCTTTCGTATCACTAACATTGAAAACTAGGTTTTATGTAGTTCTGGATGAGTTTATTGAAAGACATAGACAGGTTGGTGATTTTTTTTTTTTAGGGCTTTTTTTTTTTTTTTTTTTAGATCATGTATCAGTATTCCCCAATGAAAATGTATATTAATAAGTAGAAAAATGTGCACCTGCGTGCTAAGCTAGCAGAACTAAAATGGGCTGCAGGACAAAGCAAATATCTGATTAACCATGACAGCATTGCCTTCATCAAAAAAAGGGAGGCAACACAACACAAGCATGAAGGCTGGGCTTATGTATTTTCATGCTACTGTAACCCTTAAATGTAGGGGCAAGGTGTACCTTATATTCCTCATATTACACTCTTTCCTGATAATTTCGATTTGATAGACATTAGAATATCTGATGTATTCATGTTTCTGAAATATAATTTGGTTATTCTTCAGGAATAAGGGAGCTATCACAAATTTTTGTTAGAATAGTAATAAATAGATGACAACTTGCAGTTGATTAACTTGAAGGTGTTTCAGTGCAGTCTGCAGTAAGTGCTTCCTTCTAGCTGCACAGTAATCTTGAAACACAGTTGTAATTTACTCACCTGGAGATGCTTTGTTTCTCACTGGCACAGAGCGAAGACGGTCCCAGCCCCAAGCGACAACGCCTTTCCCATTCAGTCTTCGACTACACGGCGGCATCACCAGCCTCGTCACCACCAATGCGACCATGGGATATGACATCAAATAGGCAGCCTCCTTTGGCTCGGCCCAACCAACACCACTTCTCAGGGGAACGATGCAACACACCTGCACGAAACAGAAGGAGGTAAACAGGCTGTACAGACAGATAAACGCTTTTGATTCTTCATCTCAGCTCAAGAGAGGTGTTTAATACCATCAGTATTTCTGAGTAGATCACATGGTAAATACTTTTGTTTCCTTTGAGCTATAAATTGTTCTGAGCTGCAGTTTTATGCTGCTGGCTCGTGTCGAGATTTTTTTGTCCACCAATATCCAGCAACACCTGAGCATTCTCTGCTCTCAGTCTGCTCATCATCCAGTCTGTGTTCGTGTTTTGGATTGCCCCAAGCTTGGGCCTGCTGGGCATTTTTAAAAAATTTCTTGAAACTTCTTGTTGGCTTGTGGACTTGTGGCATTTATATAATCTCTAATCTTTTTAATGTGTTTTCAGTCCTCCTGTTCGACGTCAGAGAACTAGGAGAGATCGTCTGTCTCGACATAATTCCATTAGTCTAGATGAAAACTATCACCATCTCTCCTATGGACAGCAGCAAGCAATAGAAGAGCCCCGAGCTTTTCGCCCACCGAATGTATCTCCTCGTATATTACGCCCAGCTGTTCACCCACCACAGCAGAATGCAGTGATGGTTGACATTCATGACCAGGTAAGAGGATTGGAGCTCAAACAGTGGGATGTTGAAGATGTCTTTTTTTTTTTCCCCCAAATGTTCAAGTTACCCTCGTTTCCAGGTTAGTTGGCAGTGGAAGTCACGTAACACTAAATTCTGTTAGACAGAGGGAGCTGTTTTTGGTGTATGAAGCAGAGTAGGCAGTGGGGACAAAAAATATCTGGTCCTAGTAAAGAAGATTGAAAGATAACAACTTTCCTATGCATGTATTTCCATAGTGCTGTATGCCTCTGGCCCAGGTCTTTCAAATACAGTTTCAAATATAGTTCTTTTGCTTCTGAGGTTAATTAACTTCTCTAAGATGTGATACAGTAAATTTCTATTTCATATGAAGTACCTCTTTTTAGCATTGGTTATCTGTAAGTTATTAAAATATATTGTTCAGAAGTAGAATTCATAATGCCAGTAATTGGTTGCTTACAAAACAGCAGTTGTGATAGTATTGTTGCGTAACCAGATAAGCCATGCAAACCTAATCAGCTCCTCCTTAAAGCGTACGGAAAAAACAGAGAGATCTGCAGTTGGTCCAGAAAGCAAATAATTTCTGAGCAGGAGACAGGAATAGGCACAGAGTTTATAGCTGAGGACCTGTAAAAGAAGTTGTTGTCTTTGGTTGTTCAGATCAGCAGGCTGCAGTAGATGTGCTTTGGATTCTACGTAATTATGAACTGCTTGTCTGGATGTGCATTTCTCAAACTGCACATACACAGAATTAAACTTTTAACAACCCTACTTAAAACATACTTGTATTCCATGCAGCAGCATACAACTGGGGAATTGTATTATGTATGCAGAACCACAGAGGGCAAGTGCAGGGGTGGAAGCTAACTACAATGCTAACCATTGCACAACCTTACATTCTGGTGAACAACTTTACTGCTGCAATATCTTAAAAAATCAAAACATGCTCTTGCTTTGTGTTGCAAGATTACATCATGACAAGCCTGGATAAGCAGTTCTTCCATTTGACTGCCTGTATCTTCCAAGCAACATCTGTGATCAGACTCATTGAGGTCCTCCATTGGTGATATTTAATACTTCAGAGACAGAACCATTTTAAGAGGTTATTTTTAATTCTTATTTTGAGCATTTCTAAGTCACAGCTAGCATTACACTGTTTGCCTAACTCTTCTACCAGAGCTAGAACCATGTCAGCCTCTCTCCTGTGAGGGGTTTCTATCTACCATGATGCACAGGTTTAGCCTTTAGGTTCCATTCAGTGATCCATGTTCCTATTTTGACCTATGTTTCTGACTACACAATGCCAGTTCAGTAAATCAACAGTCTTTAATTTAGTTATTCTCACCTCTTAATGAGCTGTTTGAATGGTTTCCACTTTAGCAGAACAAGAATGAAGAATGAGCTTCCCTGAAATAATTACTGTTTGTAAATCTGTGCTTCCTGACAATAAGGCTTTTCAATTTTGTCAAAGAATCAGAGATTCCTTATTCAGTATTCAAAAAAAAAAAAAAAAAAAAACCTTCAAAATTTATCCTTTTAAAAAGAGATCCCTCTTTGCCCTGCCCAGAAAATACTCATCAATAAGTAGTATATTGAGAAGAATATTTGAAAGAACAGGAATTACAGGCATGTGCCTCTTTTTAAGCACTCATTATGACTGTGTTTTTTCCAGTATGTGGGTAAAAGCTTTTTAATTTACTCAGCATGCTGTACAATGCTGTTAAGAGTTTACAATAAGTTCTTACTACTAATTTTCCTTTTGCTACAGATCCATCAGGGAACAGTTCCTGTCTCCTACACAGTGACAACAATGGCTCCACATGGGATACCACTTTGCACAGGCCAGCACATCCCAGCCTGCAGCACACAGCAGGTCCCAGGGTGTTCAGTGGTTTTCAGTGGGCAGCACCTTCCAGTTTGCAGTGTGCCTCCTCCAGTAAGTGAGCTCTGTAGTTAATCCAGCTTCAATTTTAGACAGAGGAATGGCAGGTACCATGAAGCTTTACTGTTTATGTGCTTTAATTGAAATGAAAAATACCCTTCTTTTTTTGTTCCACTGAGGTGAATTGCAGTGGCATGTTAATATGGACCTTAGAACTGGTGGGCAAATGTATGTTGCTTATCTAATATTTGTATAGTGTGTGGCTGTTTATAGTATGAAGTCCTGATGGCTTTTAATTCAAACTGCAGTCTGGTTTATGATTTAATGTCAACACATGAGCTTTTTGCTTACTTTCATGTATTTAGAAGAATGATTCTATGGTTTTTACTACTCAGCTTACCAAGAAAATATTACAGATAGCTTGTTTATGGATTGGTTATACACAAAGAAGGTTGGATAGTCTGAAACAGCTTTTCTTCTGAAAAGAAGAAAAAGGTCAGTAAAAGCTGAAAGGCTGAGCTGAAAATACTCTTTGACAAAATTATTCTTTAATAACGATGTTTCTCTTAGCCTTTCTGGGAGTGAAATGAAGTGCCTTGATGGACTCACTTTTCTCACCTTTAAAATTGAAAGAATGTTGGTTGTTGTCTTAGAAAAGTTCATGTATCAACTCAGAGGGGCATGATTCCAGAGAATCTAGTTCGTAGCGTTTCCATGCTATGCTATTCTGTAGAAAGTTCCCCACTAAGTCCAAACAGGTACTATCGCTGAAGAAGTAGAGGAGATCCCTCCAAGAACTTTCAACTGTATGAAGGAAAGTTGTGGAACCTGCTGAAAGAATTGCAGGGTGTTTTTTTTGTTTTACTATTTTCCAATATAAATCTGTAATATCGGACATACCAGCTTCATGTACTTGGTACACACATGTATAATGTTGCTGTATACATTGGACTCTTCCAGCTGTGCATTTGCCAGCGGTATGTTCTTCTATTGCATATTCTGTGACCAGAGGACATAAACAAGACTGTGGCACCGAAAAAAAACCTTTGTTGTGATCACCTGTTTCTTTATTTAAGCTGCCTGTTGAAGATTAAGGGTAGTGTGTGTTTAGGTTGTCCGGAAGCCATTTATCCTCCTGCAGCAAGACCTCAGGCATACTGCTTGCCAGTCTGAAATATGTGTACATTATTTCCCTTTACCTTTCAAACTGTTGAAAATCTGTTACATGAGTTTCTATTCCTGAGATAAAGAGGGCTTTTTCCTTCTACTTGTAGTGTGTTTAGTGTAGAGGAAAACTGTCTCGGAGTGAGTACTCAACAATTGAAACAACAGCTGGATATCAAAATCAGCAAAGCAAGAAAGCAACATGACTAGAGTCAGGTTCTTCCTTCTCATTCATGAAATTGTGGAAGGCAGTGGTAGTCATTATTTTTTTTCTTAAGACAGAAAAAAATCCAGTTCTGCAGCTTCTTTTGTACAGAGTGACCCATTTCATTAAGTCTTTTGGTGTTGGGAAAGCCAAAATCGGGCACAGGTCTTAAGACGGAGTAGGCATCAAACAGGGACAGAATCCCCTACCTTGGCCCATTACCTGTACTTTTAGTAATGCAGCCCACTATGCAATAAGTTGTCTTGATTGCAAGAATATGCTACTGTCCTTGTTGTACTCCTGTTTGATTTGCCCACTAGGATCAGATTTTTTTCCCTGTAAGTCCACTCCAAAGCCAGTCACAAAATCTTACTCCATCAGATTCTTCTGTTCCAGTTCCAGATTTCGTATTTGGCCATGATACTGCTCTTGTCATACAATTTCTCTATCCTATAGGAGTACATCTGAAAGGCAGCCCTGCCCTCTAGGACATTTCCTTACCCAACTTCACTTGAGAACTTCCCAGTATCATTTTGTCACTTTAACAAAATTTGTCTCATTTATCGTGTATGTAACTATAAAATAATCTAATGTCATTTATGAAATACAGTCATTGATTCTAAAACTTGTAGAATCATATGTTCAAACAACGGAAGTTTTCCAAAAACTTGAATGAATAAACAATAGGTTTCATTTATTTCCTCTTAAAAGATCATGCAACCTCATTGGCTCTGACTTAAAACATATTTTAAGCTGTTCCCCAGACGTATTTCCTATTCTATAGGGGTGTGGTGTTGCACCTGTGAATTTAGCTTCAGAGAACAGTTTTGACTTTAGTAAAATACAGTAACAATTTTATTTTAATAGCAAAAATACTTTTTATAAAAAAAGCTAGGAACTGCGGGTGAAGGGTGGTCTGCATCTAAAAACGTCAAATTAATCTGTTACTGATTCAGAATATAAAGATTTATGTTTGGTGGTGATTACAATAAATGAGGCAATGATTCCACCTTCGCTAATGTAAGCTAATCTTAAACTAGACCTTATTCCCACTTTGCTGTTGTAGTCAGCATGCACAGTATGTGTTGTGTAATAAGACAAAAATAGTGAGAGATCAGAACTGATTGTTCTGCATTACTTTGTACAATTTGATAGGTTTGCAGGTAGGGTGATTGAATTTTAAATATAAAACTCTTAATAAGCATCTTTTTTCATTTAAAACAAAGATCAAAGATATACTGTTGTTTTCAGCTAACAAGTGTGTTATAAAATGCTCTTTTAATGAGCAAAAATTTAGCACAGATGCCTGGCATTCGGATGACAGATCAAAGAACAGGAAAAAGAATAAAGGATTTCATGCTCCTCCATATCTAGAATTGGAAGTAAAATCGAGCTCTTCCAGGAAGCACATTCCTGTTTACCTGCAGTGCATTCATCACTTCTGTGTTGTATAAGTAGTTCCAAAGATTAGAGAGAAAAAGCTGTTTCTGCAGTAAGTATATCTCAGCCTCCTTCAAAGCATAAGACTACCATCGAAGTGGAGAACTGAGTTAAGATGTTTTGAGGCAGTCTGATGGCTAGCAGTCCCTCAGCTACATTTATATCTTTAAATGCTTGGAACACTTGTTTAGGAATGTCATTTTGAAGGTAAAACATGCAAGGAAGCTAGTACGGTACATATACCTACTCTTTACTCAGGAGTCCATCTAATAGTGAAAATCCCATTGAAAATCCCAGCTCCCATTGAATTTATAGCTAGGAGATATCACCATGGTTTGAGTCTGTGGTATGCTAGTCACTTTGCATGTCAGTTAATATTTTTGTGTATTTAGGAAGTTTTTCCAAGGGATCAAGAGAAATGCTTTCTCTTAATTATACCTTTCCATGATAAATGGTGCACTGCTCTGTAGGAACTTTGTGCTAGAGACTAAAAAAAAGTGTTTTCATTTTATTTCAGATGCTTCAAGCGTGCTCAGTTCAGCACCTACCAGTACCGTATGCAGCATTTCCACCCCTTATTTCTAGCGACCCATTCCTTTTGCACCCTCCTCATCTGTCTCCACACCATCCTCCTCACTTGCCTCCCCCAGGACAGTTTGTTCCTTTCCAAGCACAGCAGTCACGTTCGGTAAGTAGTGCTTCTTTCTCTCTCTCTCCTTAGAATTGGTGTGGCTGGAGGTGCAAGTGGTACTGATAACTAATCCAGGAAACTGATTTTGTTGAAAGTAACAGGATTTTGCACATTTGCTTTCTTAGCAAGTCCTTCAACTACTTAGTGTGAAGATGAAGAAATAATTTTAAAATTCACTACTTCTTTTTGAATTTCATCAGTTGCTATCAATGCAGTTTCTCCCTAAGACTTCACTTTTTGTCGAAAGATGTATATCCTTACCACTGTCTTCAGATTCTTCTTTTTCAGAAAGCCATAGGGAAGTTAATCTCGTTATATGCTTCCTGTGTATTACTTCTCAGTTAATTTTTAAATGGACAGTGTTTTCACTAAAACATGATGACCTAAAAGCTTCCAAACATACTCACGAGTTTGTAGTCTCTCCCTTTCTTCTATTTATTACTTGCAAAAGTTTTTTGCTCAAGCAGATTTGTCTTAGCAATGGGGACTATGCAAACACAGGGAAATATGACTGACTGAATCTGAGGAGCAAAATTAGATTTTTATTTTCTGGCATACAGCTTTTACTGTAGGGTTCTCTCTAGCCCATATGGGTTATCTCCCATTCATTTGTTTGCCCCTGTTACCAGAAGATGCCAATATGTTATTAACGCAGAAATGGAAAACGGTTTTGTTGTTACTAGAAGATTTCTAAAGACCTGCACTGCCATATCTAAGGTATGGCTAACTGATGCAATAGCTCTGTTAAAGTAATGGGAGAACATCTGGAAAAATACAGTTTTCAGTGGTAAGACGTTTGTAAGACGTTCTTTCAGAAAATGTGTGAACTTTGATTTTAGCTTCAGTTGCTGACATAGGTTATTGACTGGATTTGACTTTCAGCTCTGGCAAATAGCCAGTATTTCAGTGCTTTAAGAATACGTTGGCTTAAAAGTTTGTACTGCATGAAAGGGAAACAGAATTTTGCTTTGCTGCCAGAATACGGATTTCTTTGCTGAGTTTCCTTAAATGAGGAATTTAGCATTAGAAAAAGAAAGATGCGTTAATGAAACAGTGACTGCTCTTGAATGTTTCTTGGGAACTGTTGAACCTGACATATCAGAGAATTTTAGGGTTTGGACCTCTGGAGATCGTTTAGTCCAACCCAATGTTAAAGCAGATTCCCTAGAGTAGGTTGCGCAGGAAAGCATCCAAGTGAGTATTGAACTTCATTTCCAGAGAGGGAGACTCCGCTGCCTCTATGGGTGGCACATCGCCCTCAAATCATGGAATCATAAAGGCTAGAAAAGATCATCAAGATGATCTAGTCCAACCACCAACCTATCACCACCATGCCCGCAGTAATGCCAGTGTCACATCCATATACAGTTCTTGAGCACCTCCAAAGGTGGTGACTCCGCCACCTCCCTGAGCAACCTGTTCGAATATCTCACCACTTTTACTGTGAAGAAATTTTTCCTAATATCCAGCCTGAACTTACCCTGATGCAACTTAACGCTGTTACCTTTCATCCTATTGTAAGTCTCCTAAGACAGTAGGCCAACCCCTACCTTGCTACAGCATCCTTTCAGGAAATTGGTGAGAGTGATAAGATCTTCCCTGCCTGCTCATGGCCAGTTTGTTGTCCACCAGGACACTCAAGTCCTTCTCTGCACAACTGTGGATGTACTACAATTAACTAGATTACAGTATTGAGCTGGAATCTCATGGTTGTCTGTTCCTGATAGGATTGCTTGCACTATCCTCCTAGGAGAGATCTTGCTTGATTACTGTATCATTCACAGTTTAATGGAACCACTGTGTTCACTCTCCTCTTTTCAGACTGTCTAAACTAATTTCAGTTCTTGTCTTTGGTTTGTTTTTTTCCTCTCTTTCGTAGTTGTTAAATGAAAGCAGCCTGGCAAGAAGGAGAGCAAATATTTGTCCAACAAAATGCAATAGACAGGAAATTATAGCTATTCCAATATTTGCTAGATGACATAAATTCCTGGTCATTTAGCATGACTAGCTGGAAAAATTGAATTAATACCAAAAGTATGTTGTCTTCACTTTTTGGTAATGTTAATGATGCAGGAGTTGGTCATACTGTTATTCTGTGAATGTGAGTATTTTTTTACTTATAGTTTTTTTTATCCTGTAGAATTGACTACAGCAGCTCAGAGTATACATGAGATTGCAGTTCTTTAGTGGGAAAATATTATATCTCATTATTGCAGCAAATATATGTATGTTTGGTTTTGTTTTTTTTTTTAGCCATTTCAAAGGATAGAAAATGAAGTAGAACTACTTGGAGAACATCTTCCTGTAGGAGGTTTTACGTATCCTCCCTCAGCTCATCCACCAACGTTGCCTCCCTCAGCCCCTCTCCAGTTCTTAACTCATGATCCTTTACACCAGGAAGTGTCATTTGGCGTTGTAAGTATTGTTTTACATGCTTTACTCTCAGTCATGCTGTTAGCTGTCTTGCGTTCAAATATGTAGTATATTTTGTCAGAAACTTGCACTTCTTGCAGTTGTGGTCCATTAATGACTACATACTGCAATATTTTAAGTTCATTTTACTCAAGCTAACTATAGCCAGTATTGTTGATATCAGTAAATGATTTCTGATAACATTATCTAGAGAGACAGTGATAGTAGTTACTTTGAAAACATTTGCATGTTGACAAGATTGCTACTATAGAAACTAGTTAGTGTTTAGAAAAGCTGTTGCCATGTATGCTGTTGTTAGTTTGTCATCCGTACTTTGAGTTTCTACAAGTCAGAAAACCAAGAATTTTTAAGAACACTGATTTGTTGGGTTTTTTTTTCTTCCTGGAATGTTTGCGATACACAGACAAGCAGTTGTATAGATCAATTCCACACTACAGGCTATATTATATTACGAAAGTAGTCAGAGTGTTTTTAAGACAACCTTCTGTATGACTGTAGGCAGTTCAACTGCAAGATCATGAAACAGTTAAACATGGTGCAAGATTAAATCTGTGCTGTAATTTGTGTTTCCAGTATCTCTACTATCTCTAGGGTCTTTGCGGTGCACTTTGGTCTGTTGGGTTTGATTTTTTTGTTGTTGTTGAAAAAGCCTTTCCCCTGTGGGTAATGCTTGAAGAAATAATGTTACTCGGTATTTTTTTTAATATTTGACCTGTGCATCAAGTTGTCAGAAAGTTTTAGAAGCACAGTGGTGCTTCAGCCTTTAAATGAAAATGAGACTTTAGAACCTGCAACAACAGAACATAGAGCTAGCTTTTCTTTATTAGTCACCTTGAAATCATGCACCATAGTTAATGTGAATGGTCTTCCCAGGAAATTTTCAGTCACTATGATACACTTTCAAATACACTTACAAAACTTCTGTATGTTGCCTGGATTTTATTACAACTGCTTCAAAGATGTTTGTGAATTTCTAAGTTCAGTCCTTAAAAACAGATAGCAAATAAGTAGTACATTTATGCAGGTTACATGTTATTTTTTCTCTGTGGTGCCTTAATTCTGGGTTGTGTACTGCTGAGGGGTGGAATAAGGGTGTAATCTTGATCTTTTGTAAAGGAATTCTAACTATTTTTAAAATTTTTCCAGTGATTCAAAATGATTTTAAGAAAAGCTTGGTATTCTTTAAACTATCACTAGTGTTCTAGTTATATTAAAATTATAATGGAATGGCTACATCTCTGATTTTCTTTAGGTCAGTTAACTGAAATCTGAGCACAGCACTTTTTAATGATATTCTGGATCACAGAATTCTCAAAGCTGTAAAGCTAGTGTTTACTCTGTCTAGTGTGAGGTCTTTTCTTTCAAGAAAAAGACCCAATTTTTCCACATTGTGTTCATGTTAATATGTAAATCTAATGTAAAACTGTGGCTATCTATTAGGTATATTTATCTTGTAAACTTAAGGGTCTTTAGATTAGATATTGGTGGTGTTGAACTTTTCTGTGTTCAAACATGGAAGAATAAATACTGGTTAATAAAAATTTTGAGTGTTCTTTGTTCCAAAGAAGTAAATGCCTCAAAGCTTTCAAATATTAATGCGATAATGGTTCATCAATTTCAACTTAAAAAATAATAGACACTTCTTGTATCTTAACTATTTCTGGGGGGAAAAAAAGTTATTATTATATGGAAAATTTCTACCATTTGTGTCCCTGTTCTTTTAGGTAAAACAAGGGATTAAAAAAAATAATACTGAAAACTTAAACGTTCAAGTGAAGGGCTTGGCATGCAAATGAAAAACAAAGCCCTGTTTTATCCTTGTCAATTGAAGCTGTAGGCTTGAGAGCCTCTGTAAGCACTGTCCATATGCAGAAATTGTACAAACTTGCTCTACAGATAGCATAGCTTTATTTTCAGTGTAATTGTATGCTGCTGCTGCTTTAATTCCGGATCAGAGATTCTGCTGTAGTGCATAGTGGTGATGCTCCCTACTCTGTAGTAATCTTACACCAATGAAAGAATTTATGAAGAGAACAGCTACAGACCTTTAAGGGGGGTTGCTATTATTGTTTTTTGTTTGTAGTTTTAAAGATTTTTCTTTGTCCTGTGCACAAGCCTGCATAATAGCACTGAGTCTAAAAGCTGAATTGTTACAGAAGACTTTACAAAAGAGACAGTAGTTCAGGTCTTATCTTCTTCCCAAAGCCTCATGCACATGTGAACTATGCAGAAAATGTCTTGCAAGGACTTCTGCTGTGTGTTACTACTTTTTCACGTGGAATGGTGTGATTCCATTACTGACAGGAATTTTAGCTTCAAATTGTTAGGAGAGGTTGAGGCTATTTGAACATAATCAGTGTCCAAAATAGCTGGATTTCTTTAAATGACACTGCATTGAAAGTGGTCTTTGATAATCAGATTTCAGTTTGGTTAGGAAAACCAAATACTGAATCACAGGATAACAAAGTGGTTGAGGTTGGAAAAGGGCCCCTGGAGGTCCTCTGGTCAAATCCTCTGTCCTCAAGCAAGGACACCTAGAACTATTTGTCCAGCACCATGTCCAGGTGGCTTTTGAAGATCTCCAGGGAGGAGACTCTACAAACCTCTCTGGGCAACCTGTTCCAGTGCTCTGTCACCTGCACAGTGAAGAAGTGCTTCTAGATGCGCTCCCGTGTTCCAGATTGTGCCCGTTGCCTCTTGTACTGGCACTGGGCACCACTGAAAAAGAGCCTGGCTCCATCCTCTTTGCACCCTCCCTTCAGGTATTTGTACCTATTGATGAAATTCCCTCCAAGTCCTCTCTTCTCCAGTCTGAACAGCTCTCTCAACCTCTCAACCTCATAGAAGAGGTACTGCAGTCCATCATCTTGGTGGCCCTGTGCTGTACTCTCTCAGTACTTTCCTTTCTCTGTTTTGTACCTGGAAGCCCAGAGCTGGGCGCAAGTACCAGTCCCAAAGGTTTCAGAGGAAGCTTATTTTCTTCTCTCTTGCAGCCTTACCCACCGTTTATGCCTCGAAGACTCACAGGGCGCAGCAGATACAGATCACAGCAGCCAATACCTCCACACCCTTACCATCCTAGTCTACTACCTTATGTGCTGTAAGTTCAAAGTATATTTGCTTCCGTGTAGGTTATTACAAAGTAATGTGAGTTAACCAGTCCTCTCAACAGAGACCTGTAGTTTTTATGGTTGGACTCTAATAGAGAGTAGACAGTTCTGCTGCACCAGATCGGAGAAAAACTTCCATATCTATGTAAAATTTCCAACCTGCTGTGGATGACATATGCACTTGCACAAGGGAAAATACAAGTGCAGTTTTGTCCAACGTAGTTTTGTGCCTGCGGTGTGTCTTTTTTCTGAACTGTGTGCATGAAGATGTTTGAGATAAGTAAATTCAAAACTTAATTCGTGGATGCTTTTATGAATTTAATGATTAAGCTGTAGTGTGAAGTCCTAAGAGTCTTTAATCAAAATAGTTTGGTTTTGTTCTTAACAGAATCATTATATTTTATCCACTTAAAGAAATATTTAAGTCCAGAGCCAAATCCAATCCATCATCAGTACTAGCTTTCCATAATGTGTGATAATCAAGAGGTTCGTTTTCGTAACAGTTCTAAGTCTTATTCTAAGTATCACTTAAGATATGCATGCAGTTTAAAAGGCAGCACTGCAAGGATCAGGAAGTGGCAGAACCAGCTTCTCTCTTGATTCTTTCACTTCAAGCATCAGTTCTTGATTTCAAACATAAGATTTCCATCAGTTCTGAGAATACGTAATTCTGAAAGGGATCAGTAAGATAGCTTTGGCAGTGCCACAGGTTTCTGATATTTCCTTCAGCGAGATGCTGAGCCTTATACTTTGTTTGCTCTCATGGTAGATCAATGTTCCCAGTTCCACCTGCAGTTGGACGAGCTTTCAGCATTGAGCTGGATGTGGAAGATGGAGAGGTAGAAAACTATGAGGTTGGTATGAAAACAACAACTATTTTTAAAGAATTGAATTATAAATTATGTTTTCAGTCTTGTTTCTGGCTTTCAAGAAAGTGTAATAACTGCAAAGACAAAATCCAGAGATCATCTTCTTGTTTGTTTGTAGTACTGGATATTTGAAGTGCTTAGCTTTTTGTCTCATTTCTCTTCCCCAGATTAGTAATCATTAACTAGTTCAGTCTTTGTGTTCTTCATATTACTCTTCTTCTTTTGAATTGTAATTGATTTTAAATGTCAAACAAAAATAAAGCACATTCAAAAGAGAAGTTACTTGAGTAACTACAGAACAGTGTTAATATCACAGGATGAATTGATTTAAGTGTAACAGTTATAAAGCCATTTTAGTGTCTTTTCTTCTTTACCCTCAGGAGGATACATTATTTCACATCTACAGATGCAGAACCATCCTTAATATCCTAGGTACTCATGGGACAGTCCAAGCTGTTGTATCTTTGCTGGTTCTAGGACTGTAGGATTCCCTTGGGCTTCTCTTCAAATACTTTTTCTTTCAAATACTCTTATTTGGCATCTCTTCACCTGTGCTCCTCTGAGTTCTGTGGTAACAGCACATTTGCTAGTTTAACGGTGAGCATTACTGTAGTAACTTCTGTGCTAGTTCTGAAGCATCATCATCTTGTTTTGGAGACTTTGGGCCCTCAGATTGAAAATATTAGAAATGACTGTGATCGTAAATGGTTTGCAGATTTCAGCAACTCTTAATTTTTGTATGCTTTCATTCTCCATCAAGCTTGTTCTGGTATTTTTTCACTAAAAAAAATAGACGGAGTGTAAGTTATATGTGACAGAGAGCAATTAATTGCATGACTCCTCATTGCTGTTTGACTCATAGAAAAAGGAGCATAGAAGTTCAAAAAAAAGTACTTAAACCTCAATGGTATGAATTCATTTTTGAGATTGATGATAAAATCTCCACCTCTCAATTGATCTAGCCCAAGGTGTGGAGTGGGAATCAGAATTTGTCCCCTGAACTCTTGTGTTTCTCTCACAGAACCAGACTCACGGTGTATCAGTAGGAAGTAAATGTGTTGACTTATTTTCTGCTTACCCCCACTATTAATTTTATAGTGGGATGAAGTGGATCTTACAGAAACGACGTACATACCGACCTGTGTATGCAAGCATAGGAACAGTTTGAAGTTTCATTCTGTATTTTGAAATCCCAAAGAAATACCCTGCGTAATTCAGAAAGATGTTTGGAAGAGGAGGATGCACAAATCTTGCTATTGAATCTTATTTTATAGGGGAGAGCTAAGCTTCTAAACATTTATTTATGAAGGGTGGTTTGTGTGCCAGGTTATATAGTGCTGTGTAACAGCATCTCCACATCTCATGGAACCAGAATTTGTTTAAGCAGCGCATTTTTAAATGTCTGATGTCCATGTTTTGCAGGCCCTGCTGAATTTGGCAGAACGCCTGGGAGAAGCCAAACCACGAGGACTGACGAAGGCAGACATTGAACAACTCCCATCCTATAGGTTCAATCCAAACAACCACCAGTCAGAGCAGACACTGTAAGTACACATCTCTCTTTCAAAATTACATCATTTATTTGGCTGTATTTTCATTTCTTTGGACTGCACCCTCCGCTGCACTATAGGAACTAAAAGCAGTGATTATCAGTAAACAGTTTTATTAATTAAAGACAGAACTCATTTAGTATTCTCAGTTTACATCATGCACTGCTCATCCTCAAACACGAACACAGGTAACTGTTGTAACTGCTGCGATGCTGCAGTTGTATCAGCAAGATTGTGTGTGACATATATGTTTGGTGTTCTTAAATAGCAGATACATTTGAACTTTGCTGTCTTTTTTAGGTGCGTGGTGTGCATGTGTGATTTTGAGTCAAGGCAGCTACTTAGAGTCTTACCCTGTAACCACGAGTTCCATGCCAAGTGTGTTGATAAATGGCTTAAGGTAAAAAAATAAAGTTTTAGAGGGAATTCATTATGTATGGATTTTGAGGTGGGATGGTTATTGTTTTGGGATTTGGTTATTTTGCTGTTCTTCATTTCCTCTTATTTCACTTTTGTCCAATTTTAGAGTAGAAATGCCAGCAGACTTGAGAGCACTATGTAGCTATGTTATTTTTTTTAATGATTGATTCAGTATGTTTCTTTACAATCCTTGGCATAAGGAAAAAGGAACATAGAGAGAATAGTTTTCATGGTCAGATCTGTCTGTTTTCCATTTCCACAAAACAATGGAATTCAACTGTGAATTCAGCTTTAAATTCACAAATACACAAATCAAAAAAGAAATGATATGGTAGCATAAGAAGTACAAATTAGAGCTTCTCTGTTGACAGTGAATTTGTTTTCAATATCGTGTAGCAAAGAGTAGATCATACTTCCTTCCTGTTTTGCTGTCAGTGTTAGGTTTTGAGGCACATCAAATATGTTCTGTGTGTGTTTGAGTTAATACATACATATTTATGTGAATGTAATATATGCCAGTAAGATTTAACCTGTAATTATGGTTTTACGTTATTAAAATGTGATCTTTCAAAACAACTTGAGGAGAAATGAAAGGATCTAGAAGCTGGATAGCTCAGTAAGGTGACAGAATATAGGAACTAGGCATGAAGAACAGGAGATGTAAATAAGTGGATGACAGCACACAGAACGTCTCTACAAATTGCATTAGCCACACGTATTGCCAACAAGGTGTGGATTCCTGTCTTGTTGCACCTTTTTTTCTGTGTTTTATTCTCTTCAGCTTTAATTTAATCTGTGTGCACAAAATTGAAACTGCGATGATTGTGTTAAAAAAATATACTGGAAACAGTCTGTGGAGAGACATATAAATGCAGTCTGCTGGAAAAAGAAATTAAAAAGACCTTGGCTGTTTAGTTCATAGCAGCAAGAAAATGCCTATCTTTGGCATACACTGAAATATTTGTGCAAAGAATGAAAAATCAAATTAATACTGACAGCATTCTTTCAGCTATCTTTTGGTAGAACTATTGTCCTTTAGTATTTGAATCCACATACATACATGACAACCAGCAAGAGAAGTACAAACATCTAGTCGTTTTATTTTCAGATTTAGTAAATAGAATAATCATAATAAAGAAAAACTAAAGAAGATGTAGGCTGTTGAAAGTGGCTTTCTTCACTGTCCCCTATCTCGTGCTCAGGAAGTGTTCGCACTAGATTCGTAAAACCTTTTTGATGCATAAAACTTCTTAAATGGTTTATGCAGTTGACAAAGTAACCACAGATAGTACTCAGTTTATTTTGTGGAAAAAATACATTTTTTCATTGGACTTCACACAGCCTTTGATACGGAGGACTTTGTAAGCTCATCTACATTTAATCACATAGATTTTAAAGAGAAAGCTCTTCCCAGGCTGTTAGTGCAGAAAACGTGCATCTCATGCAGGGAGCCACTGATCTGCAGATTACTAAGAGTTGGGAAAATACAGCAGGGAAGTATTAATGCATGCTTGTCATGTTCCTTGTGCTCTTTGTTATGTGTTTTTGGTCGCAAGAGTCAGGCAGTTAGATGAATCTTTTTTGGGACTCAGTGTGGCAGTTCTGAAGTTGCATTCAGTACTTTGAGTTGGTAGTGAACTAGCAATTGAATTCAGATCAGCAAACTAAAAAAATCCCAGAACCTATTTTAGCCTTTATTTTACAATCTTAAATGTTCTGTATTAATGGTAAAACTATTATGACCTAATCCAGATGCCTCTCCCAAGTTAGGAACCACTTATTTTCAAGTAGTTCTGAGTGTGGTATAGTCTAACTTATCAGAGAAAAAGGTTGTAACCTTAAGCATCAGCTTAAGCAGAATGAGATGAAAGGTGTGCAATGTAAACTTTAGGGGGGGGTGCAGCTGCATCCACCAAAAATGGCTTGTATTAGCCTAACACGTCTAGCTCATTTTGCATCCAATTTTAAGACAAGGATAAAGCATCGTAAAAGCATTGTTGCTAAATCAGTCTGTTTATACCACATAGATTTAGTTGCACTATAGGAAGATACTGTGTAAAATAAAGATTATTTTGCTCTGCAAATGACAGAGCAAATGACCTGTATAACTTCAGCCTATTTTAGCTAAAGCCTGTACCTACAGTTAAAGCAGCCACCAACTGGAAGTGAGGGCAGCTACAGGATATTGTGGCTTACAACTTTTTGTTTTTGTCCATTTCCTTATGCATGTATTTTATACGTTGAGAATATAGATGTGTTCATGTCCATGTAATTCACAACATCCAATCAATATCATACTGATAAATACGCAAGAAAAATAATACTTTTAGCTTTTAGTACGTCAAACCTAAAAAAGCCACCTCCCAAAAAATCCAAACCCTAGAAATATCAGGAGTCATGTTAAAGAGTGATGTTTCGTGCTATGTTGGTATGTACTTAATTGTTTATCTTGCAGTTATCGCTTGAGTCATTAATTCATTGAATTTTGAAGAACTTGCCAATTATTTTAAAAATTACATAAGCTGAACTGTATGTAGAATAATGCAAAGTAGCAACCAAGTGATGGTATTGTTCTCAAGTAACTGCAGAACTGCAGGAGAGAGAGCAAGAAATAATCAATGATTCTCTAGCCGTTCTTTATAGAAACTATGAAATTATTAAATGCAACATAAACTGTATATCATTAATAACAGAAGTAATAGGAAAAATATTATTCATTTTAATTATTTTATTAAGAAATGCTTCTTAGTAATGGCATGCTACTTTCATTGACATTTACGATTCATACTTGAAATGTGTGGCAGTGATTTCTGTGTTGGGATGGGGGGAAGCCATGTTTTCTATTGCTGTGAGTTTTGTGTTCATTGAAAAGTTTGGAAAACTTGGAGCTGAGGGTGGTTGGATTATTTTGTAGTTGTGGGCATTGTGAACTAGAGAGTCTGGGACAGGAAGGAGTTACTCTCCCTCTCCTCTTGCAAAGTAAATGTTGTGTCATAAAAAATGTGACACATGTTGTTTCTGCTGTTTATCGTTGCTTTTTTCATTTGAAATTATGTCTTTACAAAGAGGAAGAGAACCCAAAAATACTCCCGGTAGCTCAAGAAATGTTACCTTTCTTTTATCTGTCCTTTTTAAGGAAGCTGTAGAAAGTTGATGGATATGTATTTTCAGTGAGCGCTTTAACGAAGGGCTAAAGTCAGGCCTCCTTTTCTGTGTGTTATTACCTGGGCTTTGAATTTTAAAACCTATTTAATCAGATCATCTCCCTTCTTTTCTTTTTTACTGAAATCCCTTCTGTTTTTCACTGCTCTGCCTTTAGCTTTTACCAACTCTGTTCAATGAGTTTCTTTAAGAATAACTGGATAAAGAGAGCATGAAGAGACGTGATCACTGATCAGCACAGCTTGTGGCAACATGGCACCTTTGTTTAATAGTTTAGGGCATTTATTGCCAGTCCAAAGTGACTTGCTTGATTTTGATGGGTTCCACTGAACACAGAGTACCCCTTCCTATTTGCTCCCTTCTGATTGCAGCTTACAGTAACAGCATATCTACATTATTATAACCACTGCACTTAGATAAAAGCCCAGTTCACTGCATTTCTTTTATCTATTTAATATTAAAAAGCCTCTTTTTTTTTTTTTTTTTTTGTAAACGCAGTTATGAATTGACAGACTTAAAACTCTGAAGTAACAAAGTGGATGAATGCACCTTGTCATTTCTTGCTTTGGAGTAGTCTTGAGCTTTGAAAGTAGCAGCATTGTTATCACAGATGTTCCATGTCATACACAAGTGTTTGTCATTACAGTAAACCCTTTTTTGTTTCTGGTTTTGCAGGCAAATCGTACCTGCCCAATTTGCAGAGCTGATGCTTCAGAAGTGCATCGTGATTAGAGTGACCAATCTAAGAGCACAAATCTGGTTTGGGTGTTCCTGGTCATGTGTATATATGAACTATCTATTGAACTTACCCATGTGGCTTCCAGCCTTTTCCTTTACACAAAAGGGTCAGTGGACCTTACTTTGCACTGTGTGAACTTAATCAATTATAAAGCTTATAACTAGTCTTCACATCTACGGGATTGTTATACTAACAGTGTGATTGGAACTCCAAAGATTTTTTTCTTTAGCTTAATTTTGTGTGTGCACTAACATTCCCTGGTTTTTGTGTGATCATTCTGAGTGTTGCTGCGAGATTACTGTGGACGTGATCTTTTAGCATGTGCTTTTATAAAAAAGAAAAAAAGAAAAAAAAAAAAAAGTGGTAGCTCCAAACAGTATAGCAATCTACCTTATATAGAGCCTTCAGATACTGTGAGTGGGAATGAGTGGTGTGAATGTTGGCTTGTGAGAGGATGGGTGAAGTGTGCTTGGGAATGAGTGTGCATGTGTGTTTGAGAACCTGTATACCAGCATGTGCTGAGAACGTATGTGTGTAGTATTAATTATGCTGCAATGTATAATCTTGTGTGTTATTTAAACAGTACTAGTACTGTACACTGGTTCCTTTCCTTGTGTTTGCAGTTGCACACAAATACAATGGGTGCAGCAATTACAGACATTTAGTATTTCCTCCCCAATGTACTTACAGGTACTTACCTGTCTACCTGCTATTCAAACAAGCTGTTATGCTACCCTTTACTCGGAGGCTTTAATGCGTACCACTAAAGGGGTCATTGATTGTTCATAGTTGAGTAATGTCGGGTTTTAGCATAAGTTACAGAGTTCAGATTTTTACTTTGCTTATTTACAAGTTATTTTATCAATGTAAAGTTGCAATATCACACAAATCGTTTAGCAATATTAACATTTCCAATTGGTAATTTCAGAATCAACATGTTCCTGTTCTCCTTTTCAATTTTTCTAGTTGGGCTATAATTGCATTCAGTTGATTTGACATTAGAGCTGAGTTCTGAAGATGCTGCAGTTATGCACTTCTTTCATGAAAGGAAGCAGAAAGGATACTGAGGGTCTTGTGCAACAGCCCTTCATTTTTTGCCATTGTGCTTGCTAAATAGATAATCCTCTAGCTTACAAGCATTGGCTTTAATCATACACATTCTTTGTCATTTACAAAGGAGTTTGTATACAGTTAAAATAACTTGTAAGAGGTTACAATTTTATTCCTGCTACTTCATGAATAAAATAAAATTTCTAGCATTTTCTCAGAGAAGTAGAACTTCTGGTTTTTTGTTGTATCACAAAAGAGGGTGGTTTTTGGTCACTCATTGCAGAATTCAGTTGCCCCGATGCTGCTTCTTGTCCCTCATTATTTTCATGATGAGTGTAATGTGAAGGAGGAACTCCCTTGGTTTTTGCAATTGAGTTTCCAGAAGACTCTACCGCAGTACGAAACGGGAGCACCTTCTGAACAAAGTGCTGTTAAACAGGAGGTAGCTTCTATCCAACTGCTTTCTTAATAGTCTTTTCTTTGTGCTTTTTTTTTTTAAAAAAAAAAAGTAGCTCCCTTTCCAACGTTTCAGACTGTTAGCATCTTCAGCACGTTCCTCCAAAATACTAACGTCCACCTATGCCATAGTTATTCAGAGGATGCACTTCTCACATCAGATTGCTTCTCCTGAATTGTCATTACTTCAGTTGCAGCAGCACAAGTGGCACAGTTAGCAATATTGCTGCAGCTTGCTGCCAGTCTCAGCTTTAAGTTGATTCTCTGTCATTTCTGATGCTTTTGTATGCTGCTATGCTTTAGTATCAATTATAATTCCAGTGTTACATGTTCTCCACGCTGTTTGCCCTCTTTCAGTGTTCTACAGACCAATCACAGCTGATGGTGCAGATGATATAAAAGCACAATTTTGCCCTATGTCAGATGCTCTTGCCTCCATTTGTGTAGTTACACAGGTAGTTCTCAGAAACGCTGAGTCTTTCCATTCCTACTCATATGTAAGAACACTAAACAAATGATCAAAGTACTAAAATTCCTCCTCTCTTCCAGAGGAGTTAGAATAATCTTTCACAATAACACCTGGCAGGTTAAAGTACATATAGCGAAATTTATTTTTTTAACAAATGAAATCATCTTGTTTAAAAAACATACCATGTGTCTTACAAAACTTAGGCTCTTTTATATAGCTGCAAAAGAAAACTTTCGATGCGTGCAAGTTTAACCGTAACTAACGCTATGTTTGATATTCAGTTTGAAGCATGGGAAGAGGGCACTTCTCTAAGCATTCACATTCTTCAGAAGCCAAGGGAAAGTCACCCTTTTTCTGGAATTGAGAAATCCTGATGTGTGAAGTCCCTTTCCCCAGTGGAACTCTGTGAGGCACTGGGAGACTGAGGAGTTGGAGGATCTAACTGGGTCAAATCCTGAAATGATTTGTTGCACTCTTATGGCTTGTCTCTTCTGAAATGGTTCATTTGTTTGCATGGGTCTCTTGCAGATGTGTGTGGACTTGCTTCCTGTGGGTAGTGTGTGTAAACAGCACACGTGCACATGTTCTGGATCAGCTCAGATGATCCACAGCCGATCTCGGTTGTGGCTATTGATGGGGATTCGTGCTGAGCTGCTCACTGCCATGTGTTCTGTACATTTGTGTGTAACTTCTCAGCCTGCCGTGGTGCCAGGCAGCACCAGCATCCAGCAAGATGTTTTTTATGTTCCTTCCCTTCCTGACTTCACCTGTCCCCTTTTCCTAAACAGTCCATAAGACATTTGCTTTATCATATTGGCACTGCTGTGGCTTTGGCATTAACTGCCAATTAAATTTGAAGTTTAAGGGGATATCAAGGCCTACAGATAATTCCAATGTCTCATTTTGTGACTTTCTTTACAAAAAAAGAAAAAAGTAAGTCTTTTGTTGTATACTGTTTTATATGGGCTCTTGAATGTGATTTCACAGCTGTTAACACATCATGTAGTACCTGGGATGGGATTTACCAACCTTTTTTTTTGTTGTTGTTTTACTTACAGAAAACACATTTTTGACTGAGTTATCTTTGGGCCTTTTTAGAAGCTGTGTTTTTTTCGTTTTGTTTTTTTCCTTTGGTACATTGTTACCTCATTTTGCTACTTGTATTTCAGATCTATTAATGGTTCTGAAAGCTTGTGACTTCTGTTGGAATCATTTTTGTCAGTTGTTTTCTTTAAATCATACTCTTTTGAATCAATTAATATGTAGTTTTAAATGTATTATAAATATCTGTAACCAAATCATTTGAAGGCTTGATAAATTTTTAACAAAATTTGTACATTTTTTATGAGAGTTACTAGTAATGCTTTACTACGTAGTGCAATGAAGTTTTATTTTTAATCCCTGTGCCCAATTTTGGAGTTGAGAAAGTTGTTCAGTAATAAATGTATGATGTTCACTTACACAAGTTTGTCTTGTTCTTCTTTGTGCCTTGTTTCCTTTCACTGCTCCCCCTATTTCTGTGCATTGTCATACGACTAACTTCAGATATTGGCAGCATCACAGTCGTGGTGCTGGGGGAAGGTTTGCCTTCTAAGCTGTAGTGCATGCAGTCATAAAATAACTTAGTTTGGAAAATCGTCAAATCCGTCCTCCACCCAACATTACGAGTCCATCACTAAACCATTTCCCTAAGCCCCACATGCACACGTCTCTTAGATACCTCCAGCACAATGTGGGCTTTTGAAAAAATGGGCAGACATATGACAGGAAGAGAAGCAGCCCTTGGGCAGCATTTGGGGTGTTTGAAGCTCCTGAGCGTGTGGGAGATAGGCACAGAAAGCACTTGTCAGGTGGCAGGCCATCTCTTCGCTGTCAGACTCGCAGATTTCCTGCCTGTGATTCTTGATAGTCGAGTTTAGCTGTCCCAATTACAACCAAATTCAAAATTTGTACGGCTTGATCTTGAATACCAAGCCAAATTCTGGCCATTCTATAAATCCATGAGTCCATGTTGCTTGTAACCCAGTAGTTATCCTTAATTTTGGTCAGCAGTGAAATGCTTTTCCCCCACATCTCTTCCCTTGCATCCTGGGAATACATACAGCTCTTAAATCCTTCAAAAAAAAAAGTGTTTATGATCGTAAGTCTTGCTTCCCAAGAATATCTTCGTACTTTTCTGCAAGCAGTCTGTTCACTTGTTCTGAGCTAACTGGTTCACATGGCCTCAGTAACTACTTATGAGTTGAGTCCAATCATCTTTGCAGGTAGAAGAAAGATAACAGGAAAGCACTGATAAAGAAGCTGCTGTACCCTATCTCACCCATGCAGGGATGGAATAGGCAGGATAGCAGGCTGAGTATATGTCTGCTATGTCTTACACATTCTGTGATTCTGTGCGTTTTTGCCTCCTTGGTGCACATTACCACTGTCAAAACAGTGTAACCCAGGGTTTAACATCTTTATTCTTCCTCTAACAAGGACAGGAAAAACAAGGGCTTTAGCAGCCAGTTTTGGTTGTTATCAAAGCTGGGGTTGTTGTTATCAAAGCACTGGGGTAGTACTCTGCAAGGCTTTATCAAGCGCTTTCTCAAACCGGAGGCACTGATTGCATAGTAACATTTGCAGGTCTCAAGTGCTGATTTTGTCAGAGGTGCTTTCCTTCTAGCACCAGCCCGCTTGCTGGCTTTCCACTGCTTCACCCTAGCTTTTGGATGATAGGTAGGATTCCAGAGATCTACAAACTTTCCAAAACAAGCTTAAGTTTAAGCTTCCCTTCTGTAGTTAAGAGCAGCTTTCTGGCATCTGCCATCACCAAGTGATGCTGCAGTGCCATCACAAAGGGCAAACTGATGAAGGGGTTGTAAGAGGAAGGTGGAGAAAGAAGAAAAGTTTGTCCTTCTGATCCAATAAGGTAGAGTTTATGGTCTGTTCTTGCACAAGGTTTCTGCTGAATTACATCAGTGTACTCAAAAAGCCTAGTTGCACCTTTTTGTGTGTCTGCTTTATAAAACGTGGAGAAATTACCATGCTACAGAAGTATGATTCTTGGACAGAAGAATCAGCAAATATGTGAAGGTGCCCCTTCCTCATAATTTGGGATATGTGGACTGGATTCTTAGGGAAAACAAAATATCATTTGCAAAGAGATGAAAGAGATGATCTCAATCATGGCAAAATTTGCACTAGAAACTAGAAGAGCATCTGTGAGCTTGGATACCTGCAAGGCCATGTCTGCAGTCCCCAGACAGTGGCTGTTTTGCCCATGCAAAGGATGTTCCAAGAGTATCAGTGGTTTGCCCAGAGCCCCTTAGCCTGCCCATAGATTCTTTTTCTGACCCTTCTTCGCCTTACCACATCCCTTATGTCACAGCACTTCACTTTTTTCCTCAGTCTGTGAAGCAATTGACCTAGCTCACACCGCTTTACCTCTTCACCTGAGTTTTCTGGCATTCCTGGAGTTTAGCTGACAATTTCTGTCATTCATTTTGGGTAAGTCGCACCACCATCTTCAGATTCTGCATCCCTTGTGTATTCTTGTGACCCTTTTCTTCTGTGTTCCACCTACTGACCGCTGCTGGAATCTTCCTTCCCCAACAGCTCCCTTCGCGGTGCAAACAACCCCACGACCTCCAGCTGTGCCATCTTTTTGCATCTGATTGGCGTTCTTTCCTTGTCCATAGTGCATATCAGCTGATTTAGGAATGATGGTACGCTTGAAAGCAGATGGAGTTCCCTATTCCTTATCTATACTCTAAAGATGGCCTTGTATAATCAGGGACACTGGCACAGCTGTAGATTTTGTCCAATTCCCTTTGCTAACTTGGTAGGTTTTGATTTATGTAAGAATATGAGGAACTTCCCCTGTCAGCTGCCGCATCCACAAAGCACTGTGCTTTATCAGACATGCAACAGACTCTGTTATCAGTTCTAAAAAGCCGTGTTCTGCCTAACAGCCTTCCTGTGCAGGGTTTGCATGGATTGCGCTATGCCACTCACAACCTGCTATGTTTTGCAATGCAGCTTCCCTTTTCTCTGAACGAACTTGTGAACCATTATCCTCCTGGTACCCAGGACCAAATTTAGCATTTTTAAATTTAGTATTTTTATTATTTTTTGTTTTGGAATGAAGAGCTGATTAACAGCTTGGAGAGAAAAAGTGCCTCCACGGCACCACAAGGGAAGTCCAGCCATTAAAGGTGTGTTAACTATGCAGAGGCCCATCAGGGACAGTGAAGGCCAATGGTATGTAATAAGCATCAGATGAGCAGCATCAAGTTGTCTGGGTGCTGTCATGTTGACTTCTGAGCTGTTAAACCTTTCCTCAAAGTTCCACTTAGCAAACTGGAGTACTAAGGCCCCAAACCAAAGCTGACCTCCAGATGAACCTCACAACCACAACAAGCATTATATAATATTAGTGTCTGATCATTGGCAAGATATGTAGCTTAGGTAGAACATTTTCAGAGTGTATTAACCTTTCCTTGTTCAGAAGCTTGGTGTCAAGGCCTACAAGTACACAAACATTCCCTGATTCCTCTTTGAGCTCTGACCAGGCCTAAGATGGAATT